TCAAGTAGTGAGCCAATTTAAAATCTTTAGTTTCATATTGATTGTTGGAAATACTGCTTACAGTGCGATAACAGTGGCTCCATAACAACTAGTTCGAAGAGTTTTGACATAGCGCACCGCGAGGTGATCCCACGGTAGTTGTCTACATCCTTCCTGTCCCCTTTCTTATGAACTGGATACATTTGTGCGTTCTTCCAGCAAATTGGGGAGCTTCTAGTGGTCAAAGACAATCCGTAGAGATGACTCAGAGGCTTCAGTAAACACGTTAAGTGTTCCTTCAGGAAAACGGACGGTATTCCTTCTGGTCCAGGATTGTAAGGCGATTTCAGCCTGGGTGCTACCGATGAGATGATAGCTTCATCATCCGGGATTTCGTTCAGTACGTGATTGTAGACGGGTACATTGGAAGCAGCTATAGCAACTTACAACATCAAATCCGGCCGGTGTCACTAGTGGTGGAAAAACCTGTTTTGCAGTATGGAAATCTTTGAAAAATCGACGATTTCTCTTCAAACATTGCTTCCAACAGTGAGAAAATTTCTGAATTTTGTTCTTTTGAATAATAGGGTAGAGCACTACTTCGGCCTAATCAGCCATTTTGAACCTACCGAGCGGAAAACATCAAATAAATCCATTGTTTCCGAGTTAAAAAGTCAATTATGCATTTGGTACGATCAAGGAATCAAAAATATCTCCAAATGACAAAATAACAAGCGATCAACGAACCGAATAATAACGCTATGTCAGAAGTGGAAAACAATAAAGATATAATCTTCACCGTTCTTTTTCATGACAACCAGCTCGTGCGACCCAACTCATTCGGGGCGGTAGAAGGAAACGAGCAAATTGTTGGCAAGCTGCTTCACGAAGTAAAGCCGAAGATGATACACGTGTGTTAATGGGAATTTTTTTGTTATGTCTTTTCCCGATTCATATCAAGCTATGTCCTCATCCGTGTATATTGCAACAAAGCAGGCAAGCAATATATCATTATCCTTTTACCACTCGGATCGAGCTTTGTTACAGAGCGAGTTTGTCATGGTAGTCGTAGCAACCGTTTTGTCTGTATCGTTGATTGCTTTATGTGTTTGGATTCGCTGGGTACGATACATTAGTTCAAAAGCTACCGAAAGAAGTCAATGAGAACACGTGATATGAATGTTTACATCACTTTTTTTTTTCTCAAAAACAAAAGAAGCGCTCATTTTTTTTTTTTCTTTTATTTAACGTCGGTCTCTGTTCCGCAATCTAGTGCCAATCACCGACGGACATCGATTGCCATCAATTGACAGCAATCGAATGTGCAGGAAGGCAACTTCCACACCTGCGTAGGATATCGCACCCATTCAACACACATGGGCCGGGACCAATGGCTTTACTTCCCTTCCGAAGGAAGACGTGACCAGAGATTTTTATGCATTAGAAAAATCCCACCGACCTTGGCTGAGATTGAACCCAGAACCCATTGGGGTGAGAAAGCAGTCTTGCTTACCACTACACCATCGGCACCGGCCTAATTAAGAATCCGTAGGCCGAGTTGGGGGTCAAGAAGCAGTGTTAGATTTTTAACAACATATCAACAATTGGTTTCTCTTTATCACATATTACGGTACGTACGAAAAGATAAACAATTTTTCAAATCATCTGCATTCCATTGTGTGAAAAAAACCGCTAAAAAATAGAGTCAAAGTGCAGGTTGTGCTTTTTAGGCTCAAAATTAAATCTTAGCCCTAGTGACATTATGTAGAAATAAAATGTGAATTTCGCCATACAATCTCAAGTCGATTTTCCACCTCTGGTGTTGATAACTGTCAGCATGCTTGGCATGTAGAGTTGTACACAACTGCTCATTTGTTAATAACTTTTTACTCAGTTGTTTAAATTTGTTTTTCTTTAAAGTAATTGCTAGATTAAGATCATAGTTTACTATAGATATACAAATAGTAGGTAAATCTGAACATTTGAATCAACACCAATGATTTTTTACACATACAGTCCGAGATATGCAGCGATCATTTCTCACTTAATTTCTTCACCCACTTCCCCCACAGCATAGAATTGGTACTCAGTATGGAAAAGAAGATGGACGAAAAAAAAAGATCTATTATGGTAAGTGCCGATAGCTTTCAGGAAAATTTTGAGAACTTTACTGAAGATGCCAAAGATTCAGTTGAGTTGAAAGATAAAAGTTATATTACTTCGGGCAGTTCTGAGAACTCAGTGCAGGTTCTCATTAGGAAAATTGCGGGAACTTCAGGGAAGTTCCGAGAACTTCAGATAAATTTCGAATACTATAAGGCAGATCTATTAAGTTCTGAAAATAGCGAGTGCCTTTTATGAGTTCCAAAATTAAAGATAGTATTAAGAAAAGCAAAAAAGTTTAAAGAACTAAAGAATAATATATGTTCGCCTTATTTATGCAACACTGCATCGGTAATCATCGTTCATACACATCATCAATCATACGCGAGATGGAATGAGGTCATCAAGTGGATGCTATCGACACCGATCTTTCCGCTGCTTTTGATAAAATCAATCACGAGATTGCAGTGGCCAAACTAGAGCGACTTGGTTTTTGCGTTCCCTTCTTGATTGGCTTCGCCCATACCTCACCGGTTGACGTATGTCAAAGAAGATTGGAGATCATTTTTCTCAACCATTCACTGTTTCTTCTGGTGTACCTCTAGGCAGTCATCTGGCACCGTTCTTATTTTTGTTGTATCTGAATGACGTTCACTTTTCTATCTGTTGCCTGAAGGTGTCTTATGCTGATGATTTCAAACTATACTTTGTCATCGAAGATCGAAGTGATGCATTGCTTCTTCAGCAGCAGCTGACCGTTTCTGCTGTTTGGTGTGACAAGAACAGGATGGTATTAAATGCTTCTAAATGTGCCATTATAACGTTTTCCAGGAAAAAAAATCACCTATCTGTTATGCTTATAGCCTGCAGGAACAAATATTAAGCCGTGAGTCTATCATAAAAGACTTTGGTGTCAAACTTGATTCACACCTCACCTTCAAGGATTATATGGCTTATGTTTCCTATTCTCAACTTGGTTTCATTTTTTGTTTCGCCAAAGACTTTAGGGACATTTTCTGTTTAGAAACACTCTATTGTTCGCAAGTCCGCTCCACATTAGAATACTGTTCCTTAGTGTGGGCTCCAACTTACAGCAGCGGGGTGAATCGTATTGAGGCCATTAAGTGAAGATTTGTCCGTTTCGACCTTAAACCTCCTAGTTATGAAAGTCGCTGTATTGTGATATACCTGCAATTACATAGTGTTCGCCGAGGCGTCTCTAAGGCTACCTTCATCGCTGATCTCCTACGTTCGGACATTAATTGCGGCTCACTTCTGCAGCAGTTGAATGTCAACTGACAAAATCAGATGATTAAATTTACGTTCTTATTATTTTTTCAACATCCCGGCTTTTTGCACAAACTACGGCGCTAATGAGCCGTTAACTAGCTTGTGCAAGGTTTTCAACAAATGTTAAAACTGCTTAATATCTTCCATGTTAGGCTAAATTATCTGTTTTATAATGCACTTTTAATTTCCTGGAGATTTCTGTTTTCTGCATTTTAATTAATTTAATTATGTTACCATTAATATAGTGTTATTTGTTTAGGCCTTGGTTCAAGCAAATGCATCTGTAGAATTCCATGTTATTTGTGTGGGATTTTGTCTCCAAATAAATAAATTAATAAACTTTTAAATAACATTTCTTCATGTTCGTTTTTAAGGTGATTTGAAAAATACCGCGTTTTCTTCACTTAAATTTTCAAAAAAGAGCTGTTTGTTATGTCAATTTTAGAAACCTCGCACTTTTCAAACAATGTTACACGGTTCGTGTCCCACTCCATGTATCAATATGGGATTTATGAGGGTCCTGCAGACCATTATTTAGATTTGTAGAATGCTTTGAAACCACGATAAAACTTTCAATGATGCTTGGGACCCGTCATAAACCCCTGCATGTGTTATGCCATCATCATTCCCCGTAAACGAATCCAATTTGATTAACAAACCTGAAAACAACAGATGTACTGAAATACATCCTTGTTATTGTAATGCCGAAATTAATTTCATCAGATTAAGAAGAAACATTTATTCTCCATTTTCAAATTACCCTTTCTGCACTCTCACCTCCCTTCTTCCACAACCACCCGATGTTAGCACATATTTCACTGGCGAGCACACACACACACACACTTCTGATACTTTCTCTCAGCATTCACCCTTCCCACACCACCGCCACCGTCTCTCTAACCACACACATAAAAGAATCAAACTTATTCGTCTCAATTTGCTAAAATTGTTGCTACCTTTCTTCCAGCTACTCAATCTGATGTCTTCGCAACGATATTACGCTATTAAACTTTCGTGTACAAATTAAACGCAAAAATGGCTTCTCGTTGCTAGGAGAAGTTGTCTTTCTTGGTTCCGGTGACTTAAGTGTGTATGTGTGTGTGTGTGGGTGTGCTATGCTTCTTGTTTGTGTTTCTTAACAGTTACAATGACCATTACTCTTACAGCTCGTTTGGTCGACGTTTTTCGCCTGCTGCAATCTGAATCTGGTATTGTGTGTCCCGTTTTTTTTTGCGGTCTGCTCGTGTGTTTGTGAATGTGTGCCTTTGTGAGTGCTCTCTACAGTTTGGTTTTATATTACGACTAGATCTTGTTTTGATTGTTTCTTGTATCTAAATTTTCTTTTGTTTCTGCACTCTTCTCGTTTGTCCACTTATTCCCTGTCTCGTGCATACCTTTTCTAGCATCTCGAGCACTAAGCAAACTCTACAGTGTTTCTTTTTCTGGTTTTTGGAGGAAAAATTCGTTCATAAACATTCACTCGTATTTGTACAAAGGAAGATTTTTTGTTCATTCTGTTTTTTTTTTTTTTTTTTTTTTTTTTTCTTTGCATCTCCTGTGTAAGATTGTGATTTTATCCGCAAACACCCATTACCCTCTTACCTCCTAGGCGCCCCCAAATAAGCTCCACCACCGTCCGACTCGGTTCAGTTCGTGTTGTAGCACCAGCACCGCCGCAAAAAGCACGAACCGGAGTTCCGTTCCGAGTTACCACCTCCACCAGCACCACCAGAGCCGCCGGTGGCCATTGTCGGTAGCACTCCACCAGTCCCACCACCGCCAGCTCGACTCGACGCGGCGGGAAGATGTCACTTCGCCACAGCAACTATCACCATCGGAACGTCCATCCGAAGGACTCCACCACCACCGCCGCCGTCGTCTGCAGCAGGAGCCTGGTCGCGATGGCAAACAGCAGAGCTGCTCACGGTGGGAGCCGCTGGGCCAATTTCATCTCGGATCGTGATTGTGCCATATTTTAAACTGCTTACTCACAACAATATGCACTAAAAGTGTCACATATAATAATAAAATACTCGTGAGCGATAGAACCGGTCGGATGGCTGCGTTGTGTTGCATCGCTGCCGGATGTTCACCTGTGGGAATAGACAAAGAAAGGAGACATCGGTTTGAACATGGTTATATCTGATGCGGGTGGCACGGGATGGGGAGGAAAGAAGGGGGGTATTCTGGAACAAATGGGATTTCCTTTCGCTGACACCCCCTGCTGAGGGATAAATAGTTTTGGCTAGGGTGAACATTTTTGCGGCAACGTGGCGTGCACAGGGTCTTCCGGAAATTCAACGGTGTTTTATGACATTCCGGTTAAAGTGAGGGGTAAATATTCAGTAATTTTAATAACGCATATGCATACTCAGATTATTATAAATTCTTGATACAGTACAAAAAAAAAACTAGTGCAGAAGACAAAGTTATATTGGACAAATAAGTCTAAACTTCAAGTTGCATTATTTCAAAAATCTATTATTAACCAAACGATCCACCTCTATTCACACAATTAACAATTCTTTATTTTACAAAATAATCTATCACCATTGCATGATTCAATAGTGAGGGGTAAGGTTTGCCTTTCATTTATCAAGTGGCTGAGACGTATTTCAATTGTCAAAATAGTTTATGTCAAATCAGTACATAGTACATCTCCCAAGTAACAATTTGGGTTTTATGAACGTTCTGTAGACCATGATTTGTACTTGTAGAATGCTTTAAAACCTCGTTAAAACTTGCAATGCTACTTGGGCTATGTGTGCCTGACATTATCTGACAATTTGACGTTGCCTCTTGCCATGTTATGACAAATGCTAATCCTTTAGCTGAGATTTGTTGCAGTTAAAAACAACATGGGAATAAAACATGTACCGTAAATAGTTGGAAAAAGTAGAGTTAATATCTATTTCATGGTGTGTTCGGAAACATCAAGAACGTCTAGAACTACGGGAAAGTTTGAGGATCTTTAAAAGTAAGTTCCGATAATTTCAGGACAATCCCGTAGAAAATATATGGAAAATACACTTTAGTGATAAACTAAGAGCTTCAAAGCAGTTTCATTTACTTCAGGAAAATTGTTAGAACTTTACCGAAGTTGCCATAACTTAAGTTAAGCTGAAAGATCTTAAGGGTTGTTTTTATGAACTTCAGGGCAGTTCTGAAAATTTTAGGGCAGTTTCACGAGTATCAGGGAAATTGTGAGAGCTTCAGGGAAGTTCTATGAACTTCTGATCAATTTTGATCGCAGTTTAATTAATTTCAGGAAAATAGTGAGAACCTTCAACGAGTTCCGAAAACTTAAGGATAGTCCAAAGAACTTCAGGGACGTTTTGTAAACTTAGGGATAAAAAATCGAGCTTTTAAGAAATTCACGGAAGTCCAGAGCACATCAGGGAGCTTTGGAAATCTTTACGGCCGTTTCGTTAATTTCACGGCAATTCCAGAAACATCAACAGTAGATTAGCGAAATCTTCATGTAAGTACTGTGAACAGGTAAGATGAGAGAAAGTCAATCCAATTAATAACATACAATTGTTAAACAAATTTCAGGAGAACAGAGGAAGAAAACAAAATGCCGAGATTTTTAGGAAAGCTTCACGAACAAACCTGCAGGAAGATTAGGCATGATCCAAAAGCTTCTGGAATACGGAACTTCAGTGAAGCTTAAATAACTTCGATTTTATTAGCTTCAGCAAATAGTTATTTGTTAACTGAGTCTCGGCAAATATTTTACTGAATCTCAGCAAAATAAATTGCAGAACTACTCGGCTGTTGGAATCTCGGCGAAAAAAATTAAGTGTGTTGAACTTACTGATTAATTCTACATAATATAAAATTTGGTTGAACATATCTTTCCTTTCGATTAATATTAATTTTTGGAATCAACATCACTGCTACTGTTACCCAGTGAGTGGCAATAATAAGAGGAAAATGGATTAGTATGTGTGAGCGTGAGGTCCAAAAAAAAAAACTGCGCGGAAAATCACGGACAAACTACCGGGAAACTTTCAGAAAAAGGGATAAAAAAACAACGTGCTACTTCTAACAATTCAATACTTGCTATATATTTTCTCTTCAGTGTGGGGTTTATATAACCCATTACTACAAAAGGCAGAAGGCCCAGAAGATTCCCTTTACAATACGGTAAGGGAGAGATACACACATTTTATTGTTGAGTAATGTGTTAGTTGATTGACCCTGTCCGTGCGATGCAAATAGTTCAAAAGGTTGCGGTTGCAACGAATAGGGTAGCGCTCCTAATTCTCGCGCCAACATAATCCGCCCACCAAATTACGAGTAGGAATTTCCGACCCATGTCTGCCTGAAACGTACTCGTCACTGTCGATTGGGAATCGTCGAAGCGCCCTGACGTCTCGACGGAAAACACCCTTGGCTGTCTTGACCGAGACAACCCTGACGAGTCCATCGTTCCCGGGGAAGAGCTCCACAACACGTCCCAAGGGCCACTGCTGCGATTTTTCGTTTTCATCGACGAGGAGCACAAAATCACCTTCTGCGAAATTAGGGGATGATGCTTGCCATTTCGCTAGCCGTTGGAGCGATAGCACGTACTCGGACTGCCACCGAGATCGAAAATCTTGAGTGACACGCTGCACATAGTTCCACCTCGACAGAGAGCCTATCTGTTGTTCCAAATGGTTGACCTCCGGGAGAGCGTCAAGAGGTCGCCCGATTAAGAAGTGTGCGGGCGTAAGGGGTTGTGGATCGGTGGGGTCGTCCGAGATCGCAGAAATCGGACGCGAGTTCATACAGGCAGCTACCTGGGCGAGAAGAGTGCTTAATTCTTCAAATGTGTTTTTGTAATTACCTCCAATTTTACTGAGAAATCCCTTTGCAACCTTGATACCAGCCTCTCACAATCCACCATGGTGTGTAGAACGAGCGGGTATAAAGAGCCATTGCACCCGTCTGTTGGTCAGGAAGTCGTTGACCTCGTCGCTGTGTTCTGTGGCATCTATCTGCTGGTAGAGTTCCAGAAGTGTTCTCGCTGCTGCTCGTAGATTCGTAGCGTTGTCGGAGTACATCTTGCTGGGTACGCCGTACCGACTGGTGAACCGTGTGAAGGCGGCGAGATAGGATGACGCACTTAGATCAGAAACTGCTTCCAGATGCACAGCTCGCGTTCCAAGGCAAACGAACAGGGCAATGTTACCCTTCGACGGTACTGCTCCACTAATTCTTGGACCGACGATATTCACCGGACCGGCGTAGTCTACGCCCGTGATGGAAAATGGTGGAAGTGGCTTCAAACGGTCTGCTGGCAACTGTCCCATTTGCTGTGTTACACGTGCTGGCCGAGCTCGATTGCACTTTACACAATCACGGCATACTTTGCGGGTGGCGCTGCTACCTCGTAGTATCCAGAACCTGGTCCGTGAAGCTGCAAGTAACGACTGAGGTCCACTGTGGAGACGTTCTTGGTGTTCGTGGAGAAGAATTAGCGAAGTCAATATCGAATGACGGGGCAACAAGATCGGATGTTTGGTGTCGTAACTCAAATCCGATTGCTGCAGCCGTCCGCCCACCCTGACGAGACCGTTTACATCCAGGAACGGATTGAGTTGATGTAGCGGACTACTGCGTTCGACGCCGAGATCTCTTTTCAGTCGACGGAGTTCTTCGGGAAAATGTTGCTGTTGTGTGTGTTGCAGATACTTTCTCAAAGCGAAATCGATTTCATCTGGAGAGAGGCGAGATGTGCATCGGAACTCAGAGTGTCCAAAACGAAGCATTCGGGCAGTTATACGAAGTAGAAGCTGGAGATTCGGGTAGTACCTGGTCATCATGTCATCCAAGAAATTGTTCTCATACACAGTGAAACAAACCACGGCTGTGGCTCGCTGCTCTCTATCTATTTGCCGTCGCTCAATAGTGTCAAGATCGCCGTTCGGTGATGATCCGTTGTTCGTCTTCGATGGTTCCCAGGTGGGTCCATGCTCCAGAGAGGGTTATCTTGAACTTGATCAGGAAATGCTCCACGAGATACCAGATCTGCGGGATTGTAATGAGTGCCCACGTGATACCAGTTGATGGAGGGCAGATGAGTGGAAATCTCCGCAACGCGATTGGCCACAAATGTCTTCCACCTTGCAGCGCCGCCAGCCAGCCATGCCAAGACGACTTTGGAATCGGAGAACGCTCGAACCTCGTAAAAAATCGTCGTAGAAAGAGCAGCTCTCACGCTAGAGATAAGTCGTGCGAGAATAACCGCTGCACACAATTCCAGACGGTGTGCAGTCGTTCTGCCGTTGCCTATAGGTGCCAGTTTCGATTTAGCGCAGAGAAGATGGGACGAAGTATTGCCGTCGTCGTTCACCGCTCGAATGTAGATGCAAGCACCCATTGCCACATCGGATGCGTCGCAGTAGCCGTGCAGGTAGAGACGAGACCAGTTCCTCATGTCGATCACCTTTCGGGGAATCTGAAACGAATTGAGAAGCGAGAACTTTTGCACCAAAACTAACCAATCGTTGGTTAGCTCACCGGGAGGTGTTGCATCCCAGGCCGCCTTCAGCTCCCACATCCGCTGCATCACCAGCTTTGCCTTCACGATGATTGGGGCAAGAAGGCCAAGCGGGTCGAAAAGGCTGGCGATTTGCGATAGGATGATTCGTTTTGTGAGCTGAAGGATCTCGGTAGGCTGGTAGGAGAAATGGAACTCGTCACTGCACGGCTGCCATTGCAATCCGAGGGCCTTGATGGTACTGCTTCCGTTCTCTTCGATAGGAATTTTCACCCCCAAATCTGCATCAGGAACTCCTTCTAATACCGCAGCGCTGTTCGAGGCCCATTTCCGAAGGTGGAATCCACCTGCCGCAAACATTTCGGTGAGTTGTTCCCGTTGCACCTTTGCTTCTTCTTCGGACGACGCACCAGTAAGAATGTCGTCGACGTAGATGCCCTTTTCCGCCTTCTCAACAGCTACCGGATATTGCTGCCTGTAGGACTCTAACAGCTGCTGCACACATTTTGTAGCCAAGTAGGATGCGCTTTTAGTCCCAAAAGTGACCGTATTTAGACGATACTCCCTCATGACCTCGTCCTTGATCCACCTCCACATGACCTT